AGAGAGAGCTTTCCTTTGTTAAAGCCAAAGGGCGAACTGCCTGAATCCATTAAGGATGAAAGGAAGATAGTTAGCAGGAAAAAGAAATCTCAAAGGTATTTCTGAAAAAGGTTGAGGGGTCATTAAGGCACTGGTGAAATGTAAGGTTATTTCCTTGGCAGGCCATCTAAGTATTTTTATTCATTTCTTTAAGTGGTTGCTCTGAAGAGGGCACAGCTTTGTCTGTTTTTCAGCCCACTGCACTACAAGGGAGATGCTGTATTTTTGGGCTGAAGTGAAACCTCACCTTGTGACCAAGACTGAAGCCTCAGCAGCATCTGGCCTTTAGCAGAAGGTGAGATCACATCCACATCTATGCCTCGCTTTTTCTGTTCCATACCCTCCTCCTGCCTGGCATCTCATAAAACCGATGTGATGCTTAGGATGCAGCTAAAAAGAGAACGGCGATTCTGCAGGCTGCCCGCTTTCTTGCTGACTCAGCCAACTGGGTGCTCAGCTCATTTCCGCAGTGCTACAGAAGCTTCCATACAGTGGAGGCGAGGAAATATTTTTAATTGATTAGAGCCTCCCAGAAAGCCAAAGCTAATTTGTCAGTTCTCAGATGAGCTGTTCTAAAAATCCTCTTCTCTGGTTGTAGAGATAAATTGGAGTTAGGCTGGGATGGACCTCCATCCCTCCTATTCAGGCTGCAACAGAGAAACTTTTTGGGGAAGAGCAACTGTCTCCTCTGCATGAGTGTGCTGCAGTTGTGAGAGAAGCGAAATGCCATTGATTTAAATGGAAAGCAGAGCTGAAAGGGTCAGTGACCTCCGGCTTGGAAAATCTGGAGTCCAGTCTCAAGGCATGAGACAAAGCTGGAAGACTGAAATAGACTGTCTTCAAAGGGGAAAAAAATGAATATTGTGAGAGCAAATTATACTCTGACTTACCACACGGTATAGTCCATTTTGGTGAAGAATGCCTTAATTTGATATTATTCTTATGGCCTAACTTTAGAGAGACACTGACAGGTAAGGACAGACAAAAAGAAAACTATGGACCTGTAGGGGAAAGCCTGGTTGGTGCAGACTGGAAGGGAAACCTGCTGGCAGTGACGCTTGGGTACACAAAACTAGGAACGTGAACTGGACCACACAGTATAATTAGAGGATGTAAAGAACAGAGATAAATCTTTAAAATCTTAAAAGGATGTGATGTTGAAGGCTACAAAGGTGTCAAAACTGAAGAAATACGTAAGAATTAAAGTTTTGGATAGATGCTTTTTCTTTGTTTAAACAAAACCTGAAAGAGTGAGTAATTCGGTTTCTTTTACGTGATAAAGACAAGCTGGGAAAGCGGGTTAACTATCTAGAAGAACAAATGAAAATTACATTTGTTAAAAACATATAGGTTAAAAATCTTTTCTTCATGTGCAAATGTGCTCTCAGATGCTTAATTTTATTTAAATTAATGTTTTCCAATATGCAGCAGGGTGCCCAATGATCAGAATAGGCATCAACAATGTTTACAGAAAGAATCTGGACTCTTTAGAAAATACTGAGAAATTTGTATAATACAAACCAAACAATGGCTACACCACAAAATTATTTTAATTATAATAAAAATAAAAGACATTTAACCAGGGTCCACTTTCAAATTATTTTTCTCATTTAAAAAATTGTTTTACCCTTCCCAACATCCATATACAACATACACATGCATGATAACAGAGTGCACGACATCTGAGAATAGATATGGAAAAGGGATTGTGGAAATCTTTCTGCAGATTTTAATACACTTTGGATTAGGCCCTTTAACAGTAACTATGTTATGTGACATGGGCATTTGCCTTTGGAACCTCAGGCTGGGTCAAGTAATTGCATCTGGGAAATACAGTTTCTGTTTCTTCCCAGGTCTTTTGTGGTCACATTTTTGGAAGATCAATTTTGACAGTACTTATTTAAATGTTTCCTTACTTCATAGTAAAAGAGGGATGAAAATGGCCCACAGAAATCTCAGGAGGAATGTATGAATTCAATCATAGTGAGAAATGTGAATTAAACCCTTTCTGCTACGTACTTACAGGGAGGTAATCTTGCCCACACTCAGGAATACATTTTATGTCTTTCTCAGTACATTCCACAGTCTTGTACTTTCTCTCTAGATTTTTTAAGATGATAGAGCCATAAGAAGTGGGACTATACTTAGAGAAAAAAATCTAAGATGATCTATTCCCATAACCCTAGGACCCATGATTTTGAGAACAGCACCAAATAGCCCAAATCCTGTGGTGAAGCAGAAGAGATGTCAACACCCAGTGACAGAGATAGCACCGTACCGTGAGGCCATACGTTACGTTCCACATACTCACTGCCTTTCTTTGGCTAGAAATAAGCGTGTGGAGCACATATTTAATGACTGTTTCCCAACAATACTGACTGGCAGCCACTGCCTTATGACAAGCAGTCATCTTCCCATGCTGCTTTATTCAAGGGATTTCCCAAACTATTTTACCTATGAATCAGTTTCATAGGGTCTAGAAAATGGGTGTAATGAAATAGCAACAGTTTGAGAGATCCTACAGCAGGACTGAGAATAGGGGTCATTTACAGCAGTGACTGAAGCGAATAGAGTAAGAATTCATGTGTACAAAATATGCTAGAGACATAGTTATATCTGACATTAGACCCCTGTGCACATGTACTCATTACTTTCTTACAGATAACAATTTCCCTCATCATAAATACTGGCCTTTTAGTAATACAATATGGCACCATCAACTCTCTCGTCCTTTATCAAGCAGTACATTTTCATATGATTTATATGCGCACATTTCTTACAATGACAACTGGCATCAAGATAAAGGCAGACAAAAAAATCTATTACAAAGCAGGACAAGAGCCACCTCTTTGCTTGATATTTCATTAATAAGCAATGCACAGCTGCATTACTCATGTCTTAAAATAATACAGTTGGATTGAAAATGTCTTAACCTCATGGTGAAACAGCAAACTGGACCTTCACCTTCTATTTTTAAAGGATGCCTATTGCATATATTGCCTAAAGACTCAACAGATTCAACAGAGAGAATGACAAAAGATATCCCTCTCACTTGTCTTTCGGATCTAGTTCTTTACATACTAGGTTTGGATCTCTGAGAGAAATTCAAGCTCTATTTTATACTCAATAAATTCATTTAGTAGATATGCCAATAACCCCTAAGGAATATAATTTTCATGTGCTAGGGGACTGAATGTAACCCTTGCATTGCAACTACTACAAACAGACAAAGCCCAGCAAAGAAGCAAACAAAAGGAGCCTGTCAAGATGGACCTTGTATAGCAAGTAAGAAGTCTGAACTGGCCTGGGTTGGGAGGGAGGCAGGAAGAACAAGGCATCACCCAAGCTCCGTGTGCCTAAAGCTTTAACTAACTGAAGGAGAAAAAACTGAAGAAATTCCTTCTTCACTGTGTAATCACAGTGATCTAAATTAGAAAATGTGCAGTCAGCAAAGTGTATAACCCCTGTAAGACTTGTCAGTGACCTCAAAGCTTCCCTAAACTGGAACACTAGAAGTGGGAAACTAAGTTAGACCACTTCTAATACTGCTATACTGACCCATGTCTAGGTCACTGGCTGGGAAAGTCCAATTAACAGAATGACAAGTACTTTGAATTCCCATCTCTCATTCTTTTTTAAAACTTTTCCTGATAATATCAATGTTAACTACTATATACATTACTGCTGTGGCATCAAAATCCTGTTTATAAACACTTCTCTTTCAATAGTGTACACATGGTAATCAAACAGGAATCAGCTACTTTCTCTTCTAATACAATACCCTTCTATTATAAACCAACGTGGCATACCAACCCTTTCACAAATGTGTCAAAAAGAAGGTAAAGATTTTTGCTCCCATAGGTCCTCCCAGGGAGATGTTCCAGACCCTCACTCTTCACACTGGCAAGGTGAACAATTTACCTCTTTTCACTTTGTTTCATAAAAGACAGGCCCATCAAGTTATTTCATTCTATTAACAGCCCTGCGGGGTAAATTTTCCCAGTTTCTGTTCCTGTTAGTGAACACGTGTGCAAGAATTGCACTCAGTCTTCCAGATAAGGTCTTACAAGTATCTTACATATGACACTGGGAATTCTTTATCTCTACAGGCAATGCCAGAAGATGCATCTTAGGAGTGTGTTTGCCTTTTTTATAGATGCATGAGACAGGTGGTTTCTAATAATCCTGTGATCACCCAATAAAGACCCATTTTGACACCCTCCCTCAGCGATTATTACTACTGGTTATCGATGACACTCTGCACTACCGCATTTCATCCCATTTCAGTTTTTCCAGTCTTCATAATCACTAGATTTTTCCTGTTTGACATTCCGAGCCTACTCGATCATGGCAATGATCTCCCACCTTCATGTTACTGGTAGAGTTCCATGTTTGTGGTTGGTGTCATTATTGACAGCATTAGAAAATGAATCCGTAAGGAATTCTGTAAATCTCTTTCACTCCAGTTTCTTGCCTTTTCTGCCGTATTTCCACATTCTTCCAGAAAACTGATGTAAAGCAATTACTTATAACTTCATGAACAATAGCGTATCTTGCATCTGCAGAAGTAATTTATATGGGGTAGTGCAAAAGGTGCATATTTTTGTCAGACTGCCACAGACCCCTGGTGAATGATATGGGTCAACAGGAAAGATTAAGTATCTTCAGCTGCTTATAAAGGGTGCAAGTCAAATATAAATGCTTTCATATTAGAAACAAATCCAAATCAAACAAATATGCAACCATTTGCTAAATAAATCCATATCCATCTAGCTATACTGGCAACATGCAGGCAAATTTTAGGCAGTTATTAAAATTCTTTCCATCAAAATACTTAGTTTAAATATTCATTATTGCTTTGAAAATTTTATATTTCATCCTACAATGATATACCAACATACATATAAAAAAATAGCACAAGGAGAGGACTCCTATCAGATTTTTAATATCCTCCTACTAACCTTAGGTGGTTTAAAAGGATAGTCCGGTGAAAAGGTAATGTCAAGGAAGAAAACTCCACCTTCATATACAGACCCTGGAGGCCCCAGTATAGTTGACCTCCATTCATAAATGTTGTCTCCTTTGGGTCCAGCACTAAAATAGAAAACAAAAATATAACATAACAACCACGTACAATCAAGAATATACTGCATCAGTAACACTCTACTAGTAGTACTGCTGGTTTTGCAGTAACACTACAAGGTAAAATTGTGTATCATCACATGTATTAAATTAGTCCTAGATAAAACATGTAACTGGTGTCCTAAGCTCTGTCAGTAAAGTGATATATTCAGTCAGGAAGAAGTATTAAACTCACATTATAAATTATTCAAATACGCACAGAAAAATTCCTGACTCTCTTATCTCAAATATTTTAGTGGGCAGATGTAAAGTATTTACAGTACAAGGATACAGAGACTTTGCTGAGATGTCTTGTCACTGTCTTGCTTCACAAGCCATCCTATTTTCACCTACCTCCTCATCCACCTACCTCATCAGTCAGTAGCAGTGTAATTACACACATTATTATACAGCACAGACTGTACTAAAGACTGAGCAGGGTGCAAATGACCTTGCAGCTGCACTTTCTAAGTTACTAACCTAAGGTCTCCAGTCACTAGTACAGAAGGCTGCTTTACTCTGCAATCGTCACCCTCTCTTAAAAATATTATAAACAGGAAGCAGGTTAAACTGTTGGATTATGTTAATTCAAAATCCTCATCTAAAAACACAGTACCGAAACAATATCTAAAGTGTACAAAACATAATCCTGTATGTGAAACAAGAAAAATCTCTCACCTACACGGTCAATTCCTGACAAAATCAAATTAAAAACTAATAAAAGTTCTTGGGCATAACTCTTCCAAAAGCCAACACAGCCTCCTTTCATACAACATCATGCTTGTCCATAGAAACACATATTTCACTCAGGGTGGCCTCTTAAGGAATATGAAGACTTCTTTTTTGGTTCACATCCTGCAGATACCAGTCACTGATACAGGACCTGAATTTTAACTAGGATCAATTGGGATGGTGACTTCTAGATACCCGATTAATATTTTTCGGAGGAAAGCAGTGCTGGTAGATATTTCAAAGAAGTAACGTGGTATTGTCTTAAGGCATTTCTTGTGAAACGATTCTTGTTATGTTTGCAATAAAGATTTCCACAGTATGCAGGGGTTTGTGAAATAGCCCTGTGTGTAGAACAGATGAAAGCTCTTGGCTATGCTCCATGCCTCACAATGTACCCAAGGCATACAATTATTATACGACATCCTGTCATGTTCACTGCTCAACTATTCATTTTGTTCACTGAAAGTTAATAAAACCCTCTTTCACCTGAAATTCCTTGGGCTCCCTTCATTAAAACTTCTGACTGCATGATTCCCTGCATACAACTGCGTGACTTGGTACTGCGCGGTGTACTTCATTAGTCATGGTACCTACATCAATTTTCTATAATAGCTGTTAATGCTTCTTGGCTTTCTAAACTACGTGCTTTCTTAACAAAAATGGGTTACAGAGACTATAACATTATGGAACGTTCATTTTCTATCAGCCATAGTAACAAAACTAGCAATTGTTTTAAAGATAAAATCTGGCTTTCTAAGTGTCACAATAGCAGAAGTGTTGCCATCCATATTTCACAGTGTCTATAATACATCAGGTTGCTAGTTGCCAAACAAATTTAATTTACCCAGTTCTCAGTTTGCATTAACCTTTGAATAATAAAGCACAGCTGAGACTGCTGTAAGAAACAAACCAGAGAATGAATAATTAAAAACACCTCCACTGCCTTTAGAAAGACCAATCCCAAGTCAACAGGGAAGGTTTAATTGTGACTGAACTAGGCATTAAGGGGCTAATTGAACTCTTTATAAGCCCAAACGAATGCGGTCCTACATCAGTGCTATGGTATACAAGGTTCACAGAAAGTAAAGCCCTTAAAAAAAAAAAAAAATTAAAAAAATCAGGCAATTAGTTCAAATAGAAAAGGCAAGGAGCAGGGACAGTCTAAATCTTGCATGAAAAAAAGCCCCCTAATACGTGAAGGAAATCCTTTCCCATTTTCTGCAGAAAAATGTTCTACTACTTGGAGAAGCAATGACTCAGTTGATGCCAGCAGGTTAAAATGGAAGTGATATAAATGTTGATCCCAGAGAAATGGTCGGAAACAGCAAGTAACAAAAGCAAGCCCTGTCTTTTTTAAGCCTTATTTAGCTGGGAGGGGACGGTCGGGCCTTTGGGTTTGAGCGAGGCTCACTTTTTTGATCAGAACTCTCTCTGTTAGTTGCATTTTCCTAACGTATATTATTTTTATTTGTTTTGCCTATTTATTTAATTGCATTAACATTTGAAATGAGCAGTCATTAATTAGAATAGTCAGAAAACACTCCATCTGCCAGTTGAACTGTTTCGGCACGTCCAGCTACAAGCCCAGCCTGATCACGCTCTGAGGATGCTGATTAACATTAATTGAAGGTTTTCTTTGCAAATGAGAGATGAAGCTTTATTAAGTATTATTATTAATTTGAAGAATAGCTTGAATTGTATGGAGTGTGGGAAGACTGCTGTTATCTGCGTTGCCTATTAAGAGTGCTTGCTGGCAGTAAGGCTGTTCAGCTGATGTAAAATACTGATCCATACGCACAGGCAACAGCTGGTATTAAGGGCAACAGCATGCACGAACATAACATTTTTTCACTTGCGCATTAATAATACAAAAAAGTTTGACAGGTGTATTATCTTTGTTTTCCTTCTTTCCTAATTGTTAAGCCTTTTATTTATCCACAGTATTGGCAACCAGAACGACGACTCATCAGGCTTCACCAGAGAAAATTCCCATATGTGCAAGACCTCAGCCAGAGCCTTATTCTATAAGGTTTATAATGCAAGAGGATTTAATTGCCTTTCTCTCTACATGGATATCTGCCCGGCACACTGAAGCCCAAATGTTTTACATTCAGTATGATTTATATTCCAGCTCTATTAATGTTACTGGCAACCAAACCACAGATCTCAAAGAAAGCAAACCAAACATCTCAGCGCCTGAAGTTCTGTTATCTTTGGAAGGACAGACTGAGATGTGCACCCTCTCGGCAAAGGGCAGACTAAATCTGTCTTGAACTCAACTGACCCAGGGCCAGAGCATACGCGTCCTGCCTGCTGCTCACCTACCGCTATATCAGGCAGCTGCAGGGCAGAAATAGCGCTGGCTGTGGCAGCTCCAGGCAGAAGTGGCTGAACCAGAGGGATAAGGTGGTTAGAGAAGGACAGGTCGGCTCTCGGACCAGCAGCACAGCCTCCCAGTACGCGCCCTGATGCGGAAACCTGGCGACTCTACGGGATGAGGCAAAGGAGGAGTCCAGTGAGAAGCATGCGGTGTGACTCCGGAGCTGGTACTCCCCACGTTGCCAGCGTCACCTCCCAGGTGGAATTTGTAACATAGGACGGAGGAGGTGAAGCTGAGCGTAAAGGCCCTGGAGACCTGAAGTTATCAATGGCTTGTCAAGAGCTAGCTCTCTGCTGTCATTATTCCTCCACAGCTGATGAAACACTCCACAGAATACCGTGTTTTACCCGCTGGGGATGTTTCGCTTGCTGGAAGAGCTGAGGTGGGTGGACATGGAGCCAGCTTTCTTCCTCTTCCAAAATGACAACAGCACGGGTGTAGGAAATTCAGGACAAAGGAGTCAGAACATGGAAAACAGTCTCCCTTTTATTTCACTCTCCTTTGCCTCTCCTTATATATTTTAGTTCTGCCACTGCTTCCCACGTACATACTTGCAGGTGAAATGTATGCACATCAGTTACAGTTAGTAGCAAAATACTTTAAATGCTACTATAACTGAATTCATTTTGCTTTAAATATGTCTAATGCACTGAGTATTTTGTATTCCCTCAACATGTTTCAGGTAGGCAGCCACTTGAAATTAGTGCTGCTAAAAACTGCTGGTCCAGTACAATGCATTACAAATACCAAACTTTCCCTGCATTTAGAATATCCTAAAATCTTAAATTTAAAATAATGTATTAGAACAGTTGTATGAAAACAACAGCATCTATGAGATATACCAGATGAAAACCTATCTGGAGAAGTTATGAAAGGACAGTTGATTTTTAGTTTTATCAGAGCTGGGATTTGTATACAAATTTACTTAATTTCCAGAGAATAACTCAAAAAAGTGAAAATACAGAAGGTCAGGGAAAAAAAAAAGGTATCTCCCTTGTTTATCAAATAGTCATATGGAATAGTCAAAATAGCGTTATTATTTTCTAATTTAACTTGTATTTCTTGATGAGGGGTCACATGCTTCCCCAGCATCTATGACTGGAGGTAGCATAACCTCACAGTGTGTTTCTGGTGGAAAATGAGGACTGATTCAACGCCTTCCTTTCCATTCTTGGTCTCTGAATCTTGCTGGTATCCACTTTTAAAGCGTAACTACTCTTTAACACAAGGGAAAGCCAAAGTGGTTGCTGGATAATCTCAGCTGGGAAGAAGTATGTCAGCAAGGAGCTATGCTGATGGTAACCTCACCAGGTGACTCAGAACCCAGCCCCGTTCAACAAAATGCAAAAATAGTGCCATTGAGGAGCATTGGCATCACAGTCCCAGGAGCAACCCTAGTTCTCAGCCCTGCTTTCCCACTGCTGAGTGTCTTTGGAACAGATACAGACAGTGCCAGAAGCACTGGTGATCTGTGGAATTTCTTCTGCTCTTCTCCTAGTTCTCTCTCCTCTCCATTCTGGAAGCCCACCTGATCCACCACCTCTCGAGCCTTCACACTTTCTCTTCCCTTGTTCCTGCAATTTTTTCTTCATAGAACCTGTACTTTCGATTTTCTGCGTGAGGGTTGTTTCTCTCCCACCCCTCTCTGTTTGTTGATAATTCATTGCTCCTTCATCATGGTGGATCCTTCCTCCCCTCAGGTACATGGGGATCCCCCTCCCTCTAACATCCCCTTTCTTTTTCTCTCATCAACAGCCATCGCCACATCCTGCTATTTTTCATCTTTCTCCAGAAAGGAGGAGGGAGTGGAAAATGGTGCAGAGGGATTTTATTACAGTACAGCAGTTACTCATTTTGTTTC